TATAAAAAAAAAAAAAAAAAAAAAAAAAATTACAGCAACGGTATAAAATATCGGTATGATCCCATAATTAGTATAAATACTACGTCATCATAACTATTTGTAACGTGGGCATGAATTAAAATCTAAGAATTTTATACTAAATGATTAAAATGTTTTACAGGATACAACGTGGCATCCCCAGGAATTTTAAGGAAAATACAAAAAAAAATGAAATGAAAGTTATTTAATATATATACAGTGTATATATTATTACTAATAATAATAATAATAAACAAATGATTGATATAATAATAATAAACATAAATAAATTTGGTAAATAAATAATAAAATTTTTTTTTTTTTTTCATTTTAACCGTTAATGGTAATAAATTTATTAAATCTCTAGGTTATTAAATTTTGACAGTATGATGATATTCCTTTTAATTATATTTCACCTAACAAGTAATCTTGCATTTAATAGATTAAAATATGATAATTAAAAAGACTGAAAAAATGGCGTAATTTTGATCACGTTTTTTTATAATTATTGGTTGATAATACTGGAACAAAAAGATCAGATAGTATTGTCCTATTTAATGCGAATAAATGTAATTTTGAATGGTTGAAAGATGCAAAACAATACTGCATGATTTTGATGACGCACCTTTATACTTGATTAATTTAATTTTTATGGATGAAATAAAGTGAAATTATAAAAAGCCTATGTTATTAAATGATGAATCGACAATATAGTAAATAACACATTGTTAATTCAAATTATCAAGCGCCGTTAGCATCTGATATTAATGTATAAAAATAGTAAATTGGCATTTTAATACCAATTGGACCATTTGATATGCCGACACAGACCAAAGAAATACCGATTTGCAATTTCCAAATTGTACACAATGTCAAAATCATTTGACAGTTAATGTAACACTACTGAAATAAAAAGAAAAGAAAAGAAAAGAGGAAAGAAAGAAAGAAAAAAAAGAGTTTACTTTAATATAACACGAAATACATCCGGTGTAATATTTGGTTTGTTCATTTTGATAATACCATCGTTAGTNAAAAAAAAAAAAAAAAAAAAAAAAAGAATCCGCAATTTTATTAAATAAATTTATGAAATGCAAATATTTCTGCATATAGATAACGAAATAAATGAAATAAATGCAAGATGGATTAAAATCAACAATGTATGATAATAAAATTCATTGTTATCAAATGACATTTACTTAGTTGGAATTGCTGTGTTTCCTTTGTTTTTCCCCACTCTAGTAAGCATTATTCATGGGCTGTGACTTAGAAGAAAGACATTTCTGCAACGGCAACAAAATGTACGACCATAAATACAACAAACATGTGCATCGCCGTAATTCCGTATGAATCCCGCCGCATTACTTAGAATAATTTCTAGCTGCACGATGGAATCTCAATCCACGGGTTTATACAGTGCTGAGATGTTATTAATGTATCCATTATTCAACAACTATTCATCTGCATCTCTCATTATAAATATAATTTTAACTTGCTTTTAACAACACTTGTTCGCTTCTTATTCCCCCAAGTTCTCCCCCGCACAAATTGTTCAAAACGTTTGGGGATTTCCTATTATGTTTAGCTTTGATGCTTAATGTTGTCAACAAATCTGTCAGAAGCATAAGCATGTACTACCTTTTCTTTTTTTGTACTCCCCTCTTTTTTTTAGGGTGCTTTTTTATCTCCTCCCTCCCCAATTTTTTTTTTTTACTGCGCTACAATTTTTTAAATTATTTAATAAAAAATTTTTTTTTTTTAACAATGACATTTATTTATTTATTTATTTATTTATTTATTTATTTTTAAACCAGTAATGAAAAAAAGTAAGAGAAAAAAAAGCAACATTTAATTTTCGTGTTAAAAATTTCCCCACTTTTGAACCATATTCTTTTCGGTCCACGTGGACAAATATCAAATATTGATATAAACAAACATGCTTATATGTTAATTTATAATGTATGATAACGCAATATTATCATTTATTATCATTTTGTAACATACCGCAGCCCATAGGCCATAGCCACAATCAATAGTAGAATACTCGATCAGTGTATTAATTCCCAACATTTTAAATGCCCTGAAAATCTTGATTTGTAGATCTATTAATTTCTTTTGCTTTTTTTTCGCGCCAATCATTTGCTTATTTTTTCTCTCTCTATCTTTTTATTAATTTTCTCCACTCTTACAAAGCTTTACTCATACGCAAATGGAAAACCATGAGATTTCTTCCCCGCAATTCAATAAAGTATTACAACATTTGTTGTATATTACCAATCAAAAGGTTTTTTATCTGATGGTTGATCAATGATTATCTATTATCTTTCGGAGCTTTTTTTTCTAATTATTTTATCAGACTTACCTGATTTGGTTATTTAATCCCCCGTTAATTTATTTTAAGTATTTTGATGTGATTTAACGATTTATCTTTTGAAGTACAAAAAATCTTGAATCAATTTCATCTGTATTCACAAATTCACATTAACTTTAAATGCGTGTTATTAATATTTTTAAAATATAAGAATTAATTATATTTCCAAGATTAATACAGAATTAAAATATCATTATTAAAATTTATAAAATTTCTGAACAAACCATTTAATTTAATATTTTCATTTAAGTTTAAAGAATAATATAAAATTATAAGTAAAAAGAGAAATCTATTAACAAAAAAATGGATTAAAGTACTATAGTTAAGTAAAGGTTATTTGATTTATTTAATAGTTTTCTCTTTTTATTATTATAGAAAGTTTAATTTATAAGTAAAACAAAAGTTTAATGATCAAAAAGTATTAAAATAATGATATTTTTATTAAATATAGGATTATATTAAATATTATATAATATAAAAATTACTCCTTCATCTGTAGGTTTTTATAGGTATATTTGCCTACAATTTTCAAAAATTTAATGTAATACAAATCATAACAAATTATAATAAATAATTGAAACTTTTTATAAGTCAATCAGTATTAGTATATAATATTATATGATCTTGAGTTACTTGAATGATTTATAATTTATAATTTTATTATATAATTTAATCAATTAAAAAAGAATAATATATAATAAGTAATGATAATAAAATAATAAAGTAATGATAATAAAATAATAAAGTAATAATAATAAAATAATAAAGTAATAATAATAAAATAATAAAGTAATAATAATAAAATAATAAAGTAATAATAATAAAATAATAAAGTAATAATAATAGTTTTTAGCATTCTGGACTCTGAAGCAATGTAAAGAATGTGAGAGATTTCAAACTATTATTATAGATGTTCTTACATCACTTATATCAAGTATTTTATATTACATTTATCTTCTTTTAGATGTTTAGCTTTCAAATTAATTTAAAATCGAAGGCAAAGAAAATTGATTACATATTACAAATCTTGAACTTGTTTGAATAAAGCAGAATTTAATTTTGAAGAATAAAAAATTTAAAGTATTTAATTGCCAATCTGCATGTGATCAATAGAATTTACTAGTAAAATGCGGTGTTATGTTAATTAATAAAAAAAATGCCGTTTGAAATCTCTGTTTCCCCAAAAAACAATAATATCAAATTACATACATAACTCCCAAAAAACTTGTTGCAACTGGCGCTATTATATCAGAACTTCATTATTATGTCTATATTTATATGACTTGTTTATTATTTTTTAAGAAAAAAATTCAAGATAACTATTCCTATTTTGAAATTACGCTAAAATTCATATATTTCATTATATTCATATTTTTTACAAACTGGACATATTTGTGAAAGTAAAAGAGATATAAAAGTGCATAGTGTTATTAAAAATGTAATAGTTGACAGAAATAATAATCAAAAAAAATTTTATAAGCGTCAAAGAAAAGTTAAAAAGTTAGAAATCATTTATATCATAGAAGTAAAATAGTAGTAAATACTATGAAATCTCCATTTTCTACATATAAAACTTTATAAACTGCAAAGAAAAAAAACTTTTTATAAAAAAATTTTTTTTTTCTAAGATTTTAAATATATATTGCAAGTGTTAAATTACGCAATTGTATAACAATATGGTTGCATTTTATTTGATATAAAAACATGATTGACATGGCTTATATATAAATGTTACACCGCATTTTATTATATAAATTCTATCGATCACATGCGGATCAGCAATTAAATTTGATACTTTTTGCCTACCTTAAACTGGTTTAGAAATAGATTACCAAAAAAGAATTCTAACTAGAAGCAGAATCTTTACATAAAATTTGAATAAAAAAAGTAGGATAATTTTTTTAAGAGTAAATTTATTCGTCGCAGGGGGGGCGATAATTCTTATACGTCACATTTATATAAATCATGTGATCTCACATGACGTTAAACTTTGAACTTTAATTTTTTATTTAAGAATTGCGAAAAAAATACTTTGAAAAATAATCAATAATACAATAATAAAAATACACCCATTTTTGAAATTCCATCTAGCTATTACTAGTTTTCTTTATTAAAACCTTTATTGAGACACTTTGGTGCATAATGTCTAATTTCTTGATATAAGCGACATTTACGTTCACCTGTTACTTCAACCTCGTTACCATTATTAACCTTAAGAATTTTCCTACTATTTACTTTACTGTTTTCTTCATTAGAAGCTTTCAAACGTTTAGAAAGAGGTTTACCTTTACCCTTATGAATTATTGGATCCTTAATACTTTCAACATTATATATACGACCATCTCTTAATCTCATATTATTTGAAGTTTGGCTTTCAATACTTGCTAAACGAGCTTCATTTTTACGTTTTTCTTCCTTTTTAGCAATGTAAGATAAAATAATATCATTTAAATTCTTTTGATCATTATCGTCTATTGAATAATTTAAAGCCTTCTTAAAATTACCCATAAGTTTATCATATTCCATTTTTTTTGTACATGATGATGAAACTCTACTTCCTGAATATTGTTATAATGCTTAGGAAAGAAACTTTGCATACTTTGCATATTACTATCTTCATATTTTTGAGATGATACTCCAATAAAAGGTTCTTTAGAAATAAAATCAAACTGATCTCAGAAATCAATCTTAAACCACCTCGAAGGCATCAACATAACATGAAACAATACACTCAAATCTTCTACCATCAACTTAAAATAATGTTGACAAACTATGCCACGTGAAACCAACAGTAAACATGTGCACAAAAATGTGCCATCTTTGAGTAAAATAACATGTTGATATGAATTAGAAGACATATAGGGTATAATACGCCAAATTTCTCTAATTGAATCTCTTGAAATAGTAGCTAGTAAAGCCTTTAAATATGTCTAGCGAAAATCATAGCAATCCTCAATAGTTTCAATCACTTTATCATCTGGAATATTAGTATCCTAAATTATTTACAATATGTAAAACTAAAGTTTTTAAAATAATACACCATTACCTCTTGAGTGTTCAATTCACTATGATTGTCATCTTCATTATACATTTTCTGCTCCTTTAAAAGACAAAAACAGCATATTAGTACTTCTTACTTTTAATAGCCAATACACTCAATCCTAACTCTAACTCTATAGCTAACGCACCCTAACCCTAACCCTAAGATATCTATAGCCAATGCATCCTAATCCTAACTCTAAGATATCTATAGCCAATGCACCTAACCCTAACCCTAAGATATTCTATAGCCAACACACTTAACTCTAACCCTAAGATATTCTATAGCAAACGCACCTAACCCTAACCTTAAGATATCTATATAGCCAACGCACCTAACCCTAACTTAACTCTAAGATATTCTATAGCCAACGCACCTAACCCTAACCCTAAGATATTTTATAACCAATACATTCTAATCTAATGTAATGCAAAAAAAATTAGAAAATTTTTTCATATCATTTGATCTTCTTCAAATTCAAAAGCATTTTCAATAGATATTTTTTCACATCGGTAAAGAACTGACTCACACATTTGATTATGAAGTTCATCAATAATTCGGGATGAAAAATATTTTTAAATTTCCTTTTCAATATTGTTAAAAAACCATTTTACAACAAAAGGTTGATGATATGTTAATGACTTATGTTTCCATATTATAAAACTTGTATTCAAGGCTTCTTTCTGCATCTGAGCACTTAAAACTTCAACTACATCAGTCATACTTGAATTAGCAGCAACTGCTTTATGAATAACTGAATTGATTGATTCAACTCATTGAGTTGACAGGACCTTGGATAATTATAGTTGAGGTCACATCCGACTATGTTTTAAACTTTATACATTATTTATCTTATAATTTTATTAAGTTAATATTATAAGATAATACAGAAAAAAATGGTTCTTTTAAAGAAAAGAATCTTTTGATACCAAAATTATGCAAATTTACTGATTAAAATTAGAGATAAAGTTGTGTAACAAAGCAAAATTTGGCAAAAAAATATACACTTTTTCACAATCGGTATATATAGAAATATTCAAAAAAATAAAAAACTACATTATTAAATATTACTTTTAAAATTACAAAGTTATAAATAGTAGGAAGGCAACTATTTTATTAAAATTTTACATTTATATCTTTTAAAATAAATTCAAAATGGCAATAATAAATTTTTAAAAATTCTTAACATAGGGGATATGACCTTAATTATAATTGTTCGGGGTTCTGAGTTGACTGCATACCAGCAGTAAATATTTTATTTATAAATGCACAAGCCCAAGATTCATGTGTTGAATAAATAGGGTTTCGTAAATAATCAGAAGCATCAGGATATTTTTCAAATAAAGAATTAAAGCGTTATTCAAAAACATTAACTGATAAAGAATTTTGAGCTTTCCAAAAATCATGAATAAATTTTTTATAATTTTCACGTCCAAGTTTTGATTTAAGATGTTTTGGTAAATTTTGAGATAAGTGCCAGATATAATGAATATGATATGTTGATTTATATACACTTTGGCATGTTGCGTCTACTGCAGGATCCATATCAGTGATAATTACACGTGGTTCAATACCAGTTGCATCCAATATTTGCTGAAATACCCATTCATAACTCTTTTGAGTTTCATCATTCAAAAATGCTTAAGCTCCCAATAAGGTTGCTGGAGAAACTAGGAGTTTTGGCAAGTTGGCGAAATGCCGAAATAGTAACACTTTGCCGAAACTATATGAAAGTCTTATTAAAAAGTTAGCAAAACTCTGGAGAAAAGCGAAACCTGACGAAACTTATTATAAATGCCGAAACTGCCAAAACCTTGCCGAAACTATAATAAAACTATAGTAAAATTTTGGAGAAACTAATCGTAAAATTTTGGAGAGGTTTAGGCAGGCAACCTTAGCTCCCAAATATGACTTTCCTTCATTATCAACAATAATAAACAATGAAAGTGGATAGTTGTATTTATTAGTTCGTGATGTATTATCATACAAAATAACGTCAGAATAATGAGACCACATTAAAATTTGATTTCCAGTCATCCAAAATATACCACATAAACAATTGCTATCAACATTAATTAAAGGTTGAATGAACATTGTAGGGTCTTCTTTTTGCTAGTTAAGAAGAAATTTTAGCAATTGAGAGGCATCTGTCCCATTAATTCATTTTTCACATTTGATTTTCTGAATGGCGTTAAATAAATCTTGTAAAATAATGGTTGAAGCAAATTCCTTATAGTATAAGCATCACAGCGGCCATAAATTACTGCATGCTCAATTTCAGCCATTACAGAATCATCAAAATGTCGAAAAGCAGTAGCAAATTTTTTGTTATCAGCATTAATTGGGAAGATAAGCAAACGTTATATGTACATAATTAGTAGACTCAGGATTGCTCAAATTTACATGCCACTTACAATCGGTCTTCTTTGATCCTTTATTACGTTAATGAGCAATAGATTTTGTTTTATTAGGTTTATACTTTCCAGAATTTTCACAGGTTAAGGTTCTTTTTTTAACTGGATGTTCACATGAATTTGATGATAAATTTTTGTGATATTCAACATGATACTTCTTAATGTCAAAATCTTTTTGCCTTCCATACTCTTTTAAATAATATTCAGCAACTTTTCAAGAACTAAAATGAGTACCAACGGAAAGATCAATAGATGATGTGATCAAAGGATATTCTGTAGCCTTCAAACCCTCTGATTCAGAACCAAGAATAGGGCCCATAGGAACAATAGCAACAATTTCTTCTTCTTCGTCACCTACAATATCTATACAATATCATCTAATATATTAGTGTAAGTTTTAAATAACAAAATGTGAAATTTTATTATACTAACTCAAGTTACCCTCATCGAATATTTCATCCTCAGCTAGTACAAAATTTTAACACATAATAATGAAACTAAAACATTTAGCAAAAATAAATAACCACACTTTAAACTATTGTAATAGAATTTTTACCATAAGAGAAATTATAATTATTTTCCATACTTAACGATAAAGTTAAAAATAGTATCGTGAAACAAGTTAAACGTAGAAGGAAAGAGAAATGGTTAAAAAGGATATGAAATGTGAAAAGATTTATTTGAAAAAGGCTATACAAAAGCTTATCACGTTACAATCACATCATAGGCGCAGTTACATATGACCATGCGATAATATCGCATATGCTACAAATAAATTATCTCTTTTTTTTAAAAAAAAGACTTTATTTAAATACTACTAAGATTACTTGCAAATTGGTAGGAGACTTGCAAAATTAGAGAGCTATAGGCAGAATGAATGGAAAACTATAATAGTTACTTAGAATCTGAATATTACTAAAAAAATTTGAATCTGAATTTGTATAAATCTTATAATTAATTTTTGATCTAGTAATTGTATTTTAATGATCTTTAGTTTATTAAATTCATCTTAACAAGATGAACATTTTGAAATATTATTTATCTTTTTAGGTGCAATATTAACTGAGATATCACATTTTGAAATTTTAGTTATACAGAATCTGTTGTTTTAGTAATATTCAGAATCTTACTGAAATATATAAAAATTAAAAATAACATTTCAAATCTTTTATAAATAAATTTTTAAGGTTTTATAATATGTACATAAGAATTGATTAGTGAAGAAGTTTCATATATGACTGGATTGTCATTAGTTTATTATTTTTGTTATCATATTCAGATCAGCTGATTTCTTTCCATATCTTCATAAAGTGTACTCATTGATAATTTTTCCATATTATATGAAAAAAAGAAGAAAACTCTTTTCTGAAAAATTTTTTTACAAAATTTCTTATAGAGAAGACAAAGCAGTCTATTTAGCTAAATATATTTTTGAGTATTCCACTTAATGTTACTATTTAAAATTCATTTAATGATAATTTTAATGAAAAAATTAGTAAATCCAAAATTTTCCTAAATTATAATTAGTTTTGGAAAAACATAAAAACAGTTTTATTTTATTATAAAAAATAGTTTCAGATTGAATTTTGACTAAACTAAAATTTTGAGAATCAATGTTTATTAATACAGTATCATTTTAAAGCTATATATACAACTCATGATATTATCGCAGAACCCCACCTAGAGGTGCACTCCAGATGAATCTAGTCAATTTGTCATCCAGATGATCATGTAATCTGGATTAAAAAAATCAGATCATTGGATTATCTGTGGATTGACCGGATTGATTATAATTCTGACCAGAATTAAGTAATCAGCATGGAATTATCTTTTTAGGGTATGAGTAACATTACGCAAGTCCAAAAAAGGCAATTTTATTTCCCAAATTTTGGGTTTCACAAGAATTCTAAAAAGGAAATTTTTCACCAATCATTTAATTTCAGCCGGAATTTATGATTAGATATTTAATTGTTATCATGTGATACACGGGTATGTTGATCATTTCCATTTATGGAGATATCCATTTCACAAAAAAACAGTTTTTCTAAATTTAGTTTCCAGATGTATAACATAAAATTTCCTAAAAAGGAATTTTTTTGTCGATCCTGTATACTGGTATAGGATTGATCAGATATCTGGTCATCTATCTGATCTATTTGATGGATTTATCTGATCAATCTGAATCTGCCTATTTGACGAATTGATCCGATTGACCAGATTCAGACCTTACCTTAGGATTTGCTTAAATTCTATTGGTTAATTAACTAAAAAGGAAAAAATCATAACAATGTAACATAAAATTTCCTTTTATAGTAGGATCTTTAAAAAGATTTATATGTAAACTTTACCTTAGGCCACAGGGTGACCTATCTTATTAATAGTAGGTGGGGTCCTATTATCATTAATTTTCTCAATAGTTATTTTTGTTACTCGGTGCTTTTGATCAGAATTTTTGAACTATATATGTTATGAATTTGTTTAGATTCAAAAAGCTTCTGATACTCCTGATTTAGATGATGATAATACTGATGATAATACTGATATTATGATAGATAACTCTGTGATAATGCCAATACCTAAAATAGGGATAAGCTAGAGTGGATGTGACCCTAATAGTACCACTAAAAAATTTTCAGATTTCTGGAATTCTCTAAGTGGCTCTGTGAGAAATCGTGGCTTAACTTACAGAGTTTTTTGTGAAAGTGGCAAGTGTTTGCATGAACCACTACATCATAAAGAATTATATGCTTGTGCTACTGGGCTAAAAAGATTTTTTACGTCAGCTTGAGAAATTTTGGGATTTCTAAAAATTTTTTGAGACATCACATTACACTTCTACTATAGCCTGCCTCTTAAAATAATAGCTAGTCCTGCTCAATATAAATGTAACTTCTATTGATTAATTTGTAATACTGAAAAAAAAATAAATAAAAGGCATGTACCATTTATTTATTTATTTATTTATTTTATGTAAATCAGGTGATCATTATTTAAAATTAAAAAACTAAAAAAGTACAATTTCTGAATGATACCATCTAGCTAATGCCAGACCCATCAAGTGGTTTCAAGAAAGACCTTAACCAGAGCGTAACAGAACCAGCCAAGATGAAACGAAATAAAATAAAAAAAATAAAAAAAAAACATACTGGGAAAAAGGAAAATGACCAAATAGGAAAAATAAAAAGGGGAAGGAAAAAAATCTAAAGCTAAAAAAAAACCTAACGAACTACACACTACACATTTTACAATTCAACTATACACTCCTTATAAGTCTTCCTATTACACTACTAAACTATGGGTTCCTACAT